TGCGTAACAAATTTATTCGTCAACTAAAGTTATAAATATGGTACTGAATAACTATTTGGTGACGAAAATGAGAATTTTTGGTGACAAAATGTTGTTTTATTGGTGACAAGAAATTTCGTCGCTGAAGTAATTTCATTGGCGGCGAAATTATTTTTCGTCATGATGGTTTTTAGTGACAAACATTCAATGACGAAACCGGTGACGAAAATATTTCCTCACAAATATCTATAGTGACGAAATTAGCTCTTTAAAGATAAAAAAAAATTTCGTCATTCAAGACCCAACTTGTTGTAGTGCTAGAGCTAGAGTGAAATGGGAAAATAGAGCAAGGGAGAGGGAGAGAAAGAGAAAGAGAAAGAGAGAGAGAGACAGAGAGAAAGAAAACCTGAATGTAAGCTGGAGACGAGACAATGGTGATGTGCAACTATGATTTGCAGTGGTGGCGATGTGCGACATCACATGGCGGTGAGCAATGGTGGTGAGCAATTGTGAGATGAGCGGCTCACGGTGAGGTTAGGTGAGGTTTGGTGGTGTTTGTGTGTGCGCACGCACGCGCGCGTGTGTGTGTGTGAGAGAGAGAGAGAGAGAGAGAGAGAGAGAAAGAGGGTAAGAGAGAACCCATTTGTATTCTAAATAGATTGATACCGAAAAAAAAACAAAAATTAAAATAATGGCAAAAGCCTAGGTGCCAATCTAAAAATTTTTCCACTAAAATTTAAAACACCATTTGCTGAGTAAACTATTTTGGTCACTGAAAAACAATATATTTTCCAGAAAAAATTTGATATAGTGCATAATTAGTACTAAGTATTTGCCGACTAAATTTATTTGTTAGTCAAAAAATGTAAATATATGACGACTAAATTATTTAGTAGCCAAAACATGAACTAATGCCGACCAAATAAAATTTTTGTTGCTAAAACTGTAATTTGTTGTATATGCTAGTTATTTGGCTACTAAATTTATTTTAGTTGGCAAAAATTAGTATACAGTGACTAAATATTTTTTGGTCACCAAAAATACATATTTGCCAACCAAATTAGGTAGTCGCCAAAGATTTAAAGTAAAATTATGCTAGTTATTTGGCTACTAAATTTATTTTAGTCGACAAAAATTAGTATACAGCGACTAAAACAAACTTTAGTAGCCTAAACCTAAACTAACGTCGACCAATATTTTTTGTCACCTATTATGACACTTTTGGCGACTAGATTTTTGTTTAGTCGCCAATAATTAATATACAGCTACAAAAAAAATAGTAGCTAAACCCTGCAAGAAATGCCGACCAATGTAATTTTTAGTCTCCTATTGTACAACTTTTGGCAACTAAATTCCTTTTAGTTGCCAAATTTGGTTACCAAAAGTATAAATTGTTGTAGTGATGGGAATGTTTGTAACTGGTGAAATCATTCCCTCTCCCTTTGGATTGGTGTGGAGTAGTTTGCACCCCTATTTTAGCAGTAGGAGGAGTTTGGGATGGATTTGCTACTTGTTTAAGCAATGGACAAAAGAGTATTATATTTGTCTACAAAATTTGAGAATTGAAAGTGAATTTACCTCATGAGATATCGTGATGTAGCGGAAGGAGTGATAGCCAAGTATTTTGTGCTTGTTTCTTTGTTAAGATTGGCATTTGGAGCAGTCTGTACTCCTGTTTCAAAAATGATAGGAAGTGGATTGGTATTGGTGACAGATGCCAGTGTTGGAATAAGATTCGGATTTGTTGCATCAACAAAGGATGGCAACATTGGATTTGGCACACTAAAGTTTTTGGCCACAAGAGTTGACGGAGTGTTAGATCGATCTTGATCAACTTCAATCTCAGATAACAAGGTTTGAAAAGAATCTAGATTAGTTTCTGGCCTCACTTCCACTGAGGGGGATATAAGAGATGCATTGACGACTGAAGGAAGTTTAAAAAATGACACATCCTCCAAGTAGTCATCTATTGCAACAAAGGAAGAAGGAGTATACATGTTGAAAGGGTGTGTGATGCCCACTTAAGGGGTTCTCATTTCATTAGAATCTGAGTCACTTTCAAAAAGTTCTTAAGTACTGGTTTCTTGAACTTTGTGTGGTGTTGGAGAAGTTATGTCGATAGAATCTCTATCAAGACTAGCATCAATGTTGATTATGGGTGCAGTCCTTGGATTGTCTTTTTTAGCTCATTTGTTGGCTCATGCATGATGTGATCAACATCAAGAAAGTCAAGAATTTCATTAGAACCAAGAGCAACCCTTATGAGTGGGAAAGCAAGGAGATCTTCAAGAGTCATTTCATGTGGAGATTCAGTAAGAAGTGGGTCAGTAGGTGCAAGAGCATTCTCATTTTGTTTTTGAATAGAGTTTAGAGAAGGCAAATTGGCTTGAGTTTCATAGCTTGTTAAAGGAATCAGAAGCTTTCTTCTTTTGTTTTTCCTTTGCTCAAAACAAATAAAAACAGCAAAAATGTAAAACAAGGAAAAATAATAAGCAAAAAACTAGGTAAATTAAGAAAACGAAATAAATAGCCGAACATGGTATACAATGTCAGTGGCTTTCACTGAGCTCTGGATGATTGGCTTTTGAATTGCGTAGTAAAAATGTGGCCAATAAGAGTGTCCTAACCTAATGAGAGGATGATGAAGTGGTAAGGCCAGTTGAAGGTGCTAAGACTGACTCAGAGATAATTACTGGTGGAAGTCCCTTATTAATTGGCTCAACTAAAGTATCTCCTTCTTGTTTTCTTTTGCTTCTTCTTTCAATAGATGGTTCATAAGGGATGAAAAAAGCACAAGAAGTGTCCAATGGTTTTTTTTTCTTCGTTTCTTGGATTGAACCATTGGAGCTTTCCCTTTGCCTTTAAGAGAGGAAGGATCAGGTTCTTCAGTGGCCAATAAAATGGCCTCTTCATGAGAAATAACTGCCAAATGAGAAACAATGATAGTAAGGATACAGTGACTATAAAAAAAGAAGTAAGCAAAGAAAAGAAGGAAGTGGCATACTAACCAATGCTTTTTTCTGCCCATTTTTTATTGTTTGGATGAAGATCCCAGAGACGACTTTTCAAGTCCTTACGAAAAATGATGGCATTCATGAGCATCTACCACTCTTGAAATCTTTTAGATGAGTAAGAAGTTATGTTTCAGTTGAATTTGTCAAAAAAGCTTTTGATTCTTAGCTGGGATACTTTCCGCTTATGCATTCTCCTTGAATTGATCTCTTATTTCAACATAGTAATGAATGGTGGGATGAGAATAAGGACAAGGTAGATTTGAATTAACCTAAATTGCCTAGCCTGTTGGCATGGATTGTAACTCTCAAAACTGCAATTAGATTTTCTGTTATTAGATATAGATCTTCCTACCATTATGTATCTAGCAGTAAGAACTTGAGCCTAGAAGTCTTTTTGTTTGTTTCTCACAGTGTCATCTAAAGTTTGAGATTCATTGTTGACATAAATGATCCTAGAAGAAGTGAAATGGAATTTATGAAAAGGAATGAACAGAATTGGGTCTCTATCGAATGGGAGTTCAAAAAAGATAGTGAATACTTTAATGAATGAATTTTTAGGATTTGGTCTGAAAAAAAGAAAGTGTTCAGCATAGTTTTCACATGGAAAAGAGTATGTAACTTGTTTAGTAGGCCTGATTTTAGAAGAATAGGCATAAAGTCAAGCTTGAAATAACTAGAATGGGCCACCACAATTGAAGTCTATTTTTATTGTAACTAAAGAAGAAAGACCTTTGTAGAGTGTAGCCAAAAGGAATGGCACAAAAGCAAGTTCTCTACCCTCTTGAATACAAATGGCATAAGGTAGATACTCCTTGGTAATCTTAAAACCAGGAACACGTAAGAATTGGCATAGTCATAACAAATAAAATGCTATTATTTCTTCATTAGTAGGCTTTGGTGTAAATTTTTGGTATTTTTTCATAAATTTACCATAATTGATGTAAGTTACAATATCAAAGTTAACTTGCACTTATATGTTGGCCAACAACAGGTAAGCCAATTAAATGCACAATGTCAAGAATGGTAGGAGAAATCATACCACACCTCAGTATTAAAGAATTGCATGATGTAGACCAGAAGCAAGCTGCAACACTAATCGTCCATTTATCCATGTGTAGCTTGCTTTTCGTGCTCCTTTCAGATACCATTATCCCTACTGTTCGGACTCTCGTGGTTCTGAATCTGATTTCACAAGTTCAATGTGAAATAGATAAACACAAATGAGTCCAAATCTGGAAAATCTGAATTTTGTGAAAATTGGCCTAAGGTCCCCCCTCTACTTTTGATAGGAGGAGAGGTTCAAAATAATATGTTTTGATGGTTAAGGTCACTCAACCTTATTTTATGTTATAAAATACCTAATTTATCCTTCTTTATAACATAAGTTTGTTTGGATTTTGGCAAATTGAATATTCTATTGCTGATTTCACAGTGGAGATTTTGGAAACTGACTTTGCGGTAGAGATTTCGTCGGAGATTTCGTAGGGATTTTGCAAGTGTTGCAATGAACTTGACGATAGAGATTGCTACGATCGTGTAAGTGTTATAATGTGTTGATCGCGTAGGTTTTTTAGTGGAGTTGAATCAGGTATGGCTTCGATAGAGATTCCACATGAATTTTTGATTTTTGTTTTGAATTTTATGTAAGGATTTCGATTTCATATTAGTTTTTCGAGTGTATTTTTGCATTAGGTTTTTGTTTTTAGTTTTGATCAATTTAAAAGAGAGGCTAGCTCAGTGAAGTTGTTTATGATTTTTGGAGTTGATTTTTCATTCTCCGTTATTGATCAATTTTAGAAAGAGGCCAGCTTGATAGAGTTGATTTTGATTTTTGGAGTTCATTTTTCATTTTCTATTTTTTGATCAATTTTAAAGAGAGTTGACAGTGGAGTTGGTTTTGATTTTTAGAGTTCATTTTTCATACTCTGTTTTTCATCAACATGCTTATCAATGATAAGTTTTATTCTCTATTTTTTCAAACCAGAGAAATTTCTTTAAACCAGAGATATGTGTAAATTTCTTAGAAAGGCCGATGAAGTGGGGCGAGTTTGGAAGGTTTGTGAGTCTAATCCCAACCCCGATGAGTGCATGGCTGCCATTGAAGCTTGGGGGAAACTAAACAAAATTGAAGAAGCCGAGGCGGTCTTCGAACGGATGTTGAAAACGTGGAAAAAGCTATCTTCAAAGCATTATTCAACGCTCTTGAAAGTTTATGCAAACCATAAGATGTTGGCAAAGGGAAAGGATCTTGTGAAGCGAATGGCAGATAGTGGGTGCCGGGTTGGCCCATTGACGTGGGATGCGCTTGTGAAGCTCTACGTGGAGGCTGGGGAGGTTGAAAAGGCCGACTCAATTCTACAGAAAGCTGCACAGCAGAACCAGATGAAGCCGCTGTTCAGTTCTTACATGGCGATTATGGACCAGTATGCGAACAGAGGCGATGTGCACAATGCTGAGAAGATGTTTCATCGGATGAGACAGTCTGGGTACGTGGGTCGGCTTAGGCAGTTCCAAACTTTGATCCAGGCTTATATTAATGCCAAGTCGCCAGCCTACGGGATGAGAGAGAGGATGAAGGCAGACAATATTTTCCCAAATAAAGCAGCCGCTGAGCAGTTGGTTCAGGTTGATGCATTTAGGAAGTCGGTGATGTCGGATTTGCTCGACTGAGCGGTGAGGGTTTTAAGAAGTTCCAAGTGAATCAAAGTTATGTTGTTTGGGTACTTATTTTTTACTCTTGTTTATACCAAACTAGTAGGGATTTACTTGTAGGCGGAAACATTTTTGGATCATGCTTTTTGCTGTATCTGCTGCTATTGAAGCTTTTTAATATGTCAGTTCATATGTCCAAATCCACCAGATTGATTTTGCTGAGTTTTTATAACAAATTTGCTACCACATCTCTGTTATTATTCACAGGGAGACCATATGCCCAAACCACGAGTGTGTGATCAGATTTAATAAGCATCGATATTTGATTAATATAATTTTTTTTAATTTTTTTTGATAAAAATAATGTTTTGGATGAATTTTATACATTAAACAATTTAAATTATGAAGTACTGTTTACTCTGATTGTAAAGTAGAGCTCATCCCTAGAGTTCAACAAGCATCGACAATTCTGTCTGGGTCTAAATATAAAAATTTCTCGTGTTTAAACCTAAGATGATATTACAGAGTTCATCTAAGAAACTCATATATTACATAAAAATTAAATATTAATAATTTTATAATTGAGTTGACATAAAAACTAAATATTTAGTCAT